GACATGGACTTTGGTGGAAACGGAAACCTTGGGCCTAGTTCTGTCACCTTAGCTGGCACTTGGATACAACAGTCCCTGTGATCGAAACCCACAGCAACAAACAGGGCCATGCCCTGAATCTATGTAGTGGCCCAGTAACAGTTTAGAACAGCTGAGGACTTACACCTTTGCATTTCTTTGGTGGGCCTTGGTGGTTTCCCAGTCAGTCCTATCCTAAAAACCAGAGGACAAAAAATAAACTAACAATTACAGCAAATCACTCCCTGACATTAAGCTGAATTTTGGTTGAGTTTGTATGCACATCTTTTGAGCTTTATTTATTCTTTGGAAATAATTCCAAGCATTTTGAGAACACAGAAGCCAAAACAAAGCCTGAAAAACACCACAGTCTCCCTTTAAAATATTCTTATTTTTCTCCTGAGATTTCTACTGTTGCTTTCCCTAGTTTGTCAAGCAACCCCCCTTCCCATTCAGCCAAGTATCTGCAGTTCTCATTCCTCACAAGTCTCAGAACTGAAGCACTCCAGCTGCTCTAGGGCTACCCCCTTAAATGTTATCTTGCTGTGATGTTACACCAGCCTGTTGTTATGACCTTGGCTATTTTTTATAAAGACATAAAGATGAAATAGGTCCTTGCTCTTAATGACAGTTCATACAAAACATCCTTTATAAAGCAAACTAAGTTATCCATATGTATACATTACTGATCAGCCCACACCAGACACCCAGATCATCATCTCTCTTCCTTGGGTGACTTAGTATGAGGCAAGATGGTTTGGCATTATTATGCTAATATCTCTTCAATTAATCTTAGGGCAAGTACTATATTTTCTTTTGAAACTAATAGCAGAACATATTTTTTTTTCTTCATTACAATCCCTGTGTTTGTTCACTCTGAAATTTCCCTGACAGGCACACATAATTGTGGAAGGTTCTTGCTTTTAATTGAAGGCTCTTGCTCTGAACTTCCTACTTTCTAGCTATTGTGCACCCCTTCTAAGCAGAAAGATTTCTGTGATTTTCCCCACACTGAAAAATGCTCATGAAAGCAAAAATGGCCTTCAATAATACTGCCTGACGAGTTTTGGCATTTTGAAAGATAGGCCACCTTGCTCCTCATAGCCCTGATGAATTCAATGAGATGCTTGTTTAGATTTCACTGAGAATGTTTTAGCTGTTTCTTCAAAACTGACTCAGCAACATCCTTAAGCACCTGCTTAACTTAAAGCAGATGAAAAGTCCTGCTCATCTGTCAAGCTAAGGAAATGCTTAAGTGCTTTGCTGGATTGAGGCCTAACAGCTTGCAAATACAGATGGCTGTTATCAAGACCCAGAAGAGGCCAGGTAACCACCAACAGTCAATTATATTCCTACCAGAACTTCAAGCCAGCATATCATACTGTTTGAAGTTAATTGCTTTGAAATAATTGGACAGGTGAGCAGGTAAGTTCACACAGAGCATTTGCAATTTTCCTTTGTTTTTAAAAAAACAACAGTGCAGATTGCATGGACAAAATGAGCATGATTTTAACAAAACAAGTTGAAAGGGAAGAGGTATGGGATTTTGTTTTACAGACCTTTCCTTTTAATTTTTAACATCATTAAAACCTTGAAAACATTTTATTCAAGAGCTTCATTACTAAATACCTCATTATTTCTCTTTTTTATTGTTATGGTAATCAAGCCTTAATATACTGCAGCTTTATAGCATGAAATCAAGGCTAGGCCTGCAGGCACTGACAGATGTACAACAGCAAGCACTAAAACACAGGTAGAGAGGCACGCAGAGCTGAATATGGCACAGGGTTTTCTTTTAATTGTTTAGCAATTAATCTGAAGTTATTTTAACCTTGACAGTAGATGAACCCTAACATGTACCATGATCACTGGGAAGCTGCACCAAACAGCAAGTTTGGTGATTGTTGTCTGCATTTTAGAAAAAGCATGAAACAAAGTCTGAGAAAGATTATTGAATTGTTTGGATGACTACAGGCTGTAGCTGTAACTATTGCAAATATTTAACTGAGTATATACCCTTGGCTAGTAAGCCAAGGGTTAACGGTAGCACTGGGAAACTGCATTTAACAGCAAAACCCTGCCTTCCCAGAGGAAATGTGTCAGAATTCATATCCCTCCTGGTGGAGGCAGTCCTTGCACCCAGTTAGAGAAACAACTGGATCTTACTTCTGCTTATGAAGTGACACTCGGACCTTATGCTGGAGCTCTGCTTATGGCTGAATTTCACCCATCAAACCAAACAGAAGTTATATGTCTAAATTTTTCAAAGTTATAATGGTCTGGTCTGCAGGAGGTTCAAATACCATCTCAAAAAGTGAGAGTGTCGTCAGGTTTTTTCCAACAATGACAAGTGACAACCCCCAGCCTCAGCTGTGCTCTACTCCTCAACATTGCTTTCAGGAGAAAAAAATCAGGAAACAATTACAGCTCCTGGGAGATTTTCGAAATTTAAAGGGAGTGCTTTGGGTAGCAATCTCTTTCCCACTAAAACAGTTTCAAATAGCCAACAGTAAAAGCAATATGCCTGTGACTTAATAAAACTGCTGATACTAAGGATCATACAGGAAAGGTCAGTGCTCCCCAGGGGGAGCTGGGTGGTGCACACACAGCATCAGCTTCAGTTTCTCCAGAGCACAGCCTTGCAGGGCCAGTCATTCAGAAAAATCCAACCAACCATATTTGTCATTGCAAGCATGTAACTTTCATAGCAGTTGCCCAATATTAATGAAGTAATATGAAGAAGGCACAGGTAATACATTATTCCAGCAGAAGTGAAAAATGTTATCCACACTCTTACTGGCTAACAGTAAGATGTGACTCTATATGTGGACCATCAGTGTATGAAAAACCCAGTTAACCTCAGTTAGGGAAAGGCTCCAAGCTTTTCTCTTAGGAATACTCAGAGTAACATTTGCAGTGTATGCAGCTGATATCCCCTCTATACCTTACAATTGAAACAAAATCTCCTAACAATAAAGAGGCCAGTTATCCAAGTTCCTAGTGCCAAGCACTGAGGTGAGCAGCTCTCCCAGCTGCACTAAGAGCTGACTCCTGTGAGGCCACTCAGACGCACTGCACTGGACAGTGCTTCTTCTCAGCAGACCTCAGGACAGGAGCGTGTGTTGCCCAGCTTGTAACAAATGGAATGGAAGACAATGGGCACTGCAGGCTAGCGAACACACTAATTATATTAATAAAATGAAAGCTTAAATTTTGAAGCTAATCCTGGGCTATCATTTATAAAAGTTAACAAGGCATATTTAATTTAGGAATTGGCGAACGCTTCTCTTCCCAGCGCTGAAACCTCATAAATGAAATATACTGGATTGCTGCCCAGTGCGGAAATAAAAGTTATGAATAATGTTTCTATCTCAATCATTGTCAGTGCTTTAATATTCCTAATTACTTTAAAAAGCTAAATATTCAATATAGGGAAAACCTTCTTTTTTCTTTTTATCTTCACTTGCAAGATTAGTGCAATTTAATAAGGACTCACTGGGTAGTTTTATAATCCATGAGACCATTCTGCACTTTGACACCTTATCCTTTCCTCTTTAGCTGTACACAGAATGAAGTGCTTCTTCCTCTTTGTATAAATGTATGTATACATATAAACAACATTTATCTGTATAAATATATACATCTATTACTATATGTTCACAGTATCACAGTATTTTGATTTCTCATCTTTTAAACTTCTCTAAGTGTCTGAATACTCACTGGCTCTTAGCTCAAACCTGTCTATTACTAAAAAAACATAAAGGATAAAATTGGCTCCTGAGAGTCTAAACAATATTTTAAAGTTGGAGGTACTACTTTTCTTCTAAAATATTGTTACAGATAGACATTCAGTATGTAATGCTGCCTAATTTTCACCTTGTTTACCTGTCAGGAAAGACCGAAATGTTGCTTCAAAACCCAAATCAGGGTCTTTGTTTCTCTTCCTTTTCCCTGCTCTCTCCCTATTGCCTTTTCTGTTGTAACTGAGGAGGCATCAGCAAAGCTGCAGACAAAACATCAGTAACTTGACCAGAGAAGAGTATTCAGCCCCAGTCACACTCAACTCCTCTTCTACCACTTCCTTTTATAGATCCCTTTTCTGTTATCTTTTTGCCTGGTAATGATGTCTCTTTTCAAGAATCAAATCAATTTGGGAGAAAGGGAGAAAATAAAAGCAAAATGAAACATCCATTCAGTAAATGACTCACAGCATCCTTCTCAGTGCAGTTTTATTTACTTGCCTGACACACAAATAGACTTCATTTACCAGGCTGATTTCTGTGATGCCAATAATCTATTGGGTCTGTGTTCCACAACACCTCGGATGCTTGCACTGGGAAGAGCTCTTTCATTCCAGCCTGAACTAATCACATAGACTTTAACTTATCATCACCAATTAAGAGAGTTAGACATACACAGCTTCTCCAGCTGAGAGAACCAAAAGCCCCAAGTGTGAATTAATTTCCTAGTAAAATGTGCAGAACTCCTACCTCAACCACTTCCCCAGCTCCTGCAGAAAGGATAATTTGGGGTGTGGATTTCAAGTCAGAAGGTAGAATTGGGGCTGCATGAAAAGTTGATAGCAGAACTCCCACTGGCTTCAACAGGACAAGGATTCTATCTAGAGAGCATGCTTTCCAAAGCACTCCAAGTATTCCATGAAGTATTTAATGAAGAATGTGTTGTAGTAAAGATTAAAGAGAAAAATTCTATGATAGAGCTGTATTCTCACTCTTGGTATCCCAATAACAGGACCAAAAGCATTAAGAGCATCCTCTGCTGAACATTTATTTGCAAAAACAAGCAAAAATCCCATTAACATAGGAGAGATTATAATCATGTATTAATTGTTGCAGAATAATCAACTGACGATCTTCATCTTTTTCCCCTAACGCATCCAAGTTCAAAGTCCACTGCTTTATTTAAGGCCTTTTTTGAATAGCAGCATGTATCTTAGTCACATTTTTGTAATCTTTACTCACCACTGGAGCAATCAGTGCCTCCCCATCCTGGTTCACAATGACAAGTATCAGGAGAAACACATCTTCCATGCACACACTCCTCTGTGCAGAGTGCTGTTAAGGAGAAACAATACACAGCACGGTGACCATATTAAGTAGTTGGCAAACATGCAATAAACTTTGCCTCAGAGAGCAGTATTTTATTAAAAAATATTAAACAAAGCAAACACAAAAAGTAATTACTTGCAAGATTTAATTAATACAAAGTGACCAAAATAAAATACAAGTCTCTTGACAACAATAAACTAATTTGTCACTTCAGCTCTTTCTAATAAAAAGCTCCAACACCAGAAATTACTTTGGTTAGCAGCTTTGCTTCATCATAACATTTTTACTGAACTTACATTATTATTATATTACAGAACACCAGCTTCTTCTATTGCACTTGAGTTCATAAGACATTTGAAAGAGATTTAAAAATATTAAGATCCAAAATAGATGTGTAAAGAAAGTAGCTGAAGAAGAAGAAATAATTTTACTAGATGATGGAATAGCTGTAAGGGAAGCTTTGTCTTTTAAAGGTTGTCAAGTTTTACATAACTACAATGTTTTGTAACTTTTTTGTTCACTGCTGGATTATTGAACATTCAATATCCTCGAGGTTCAAACTTTGAAAAACTGGTTGGTTTTACTGTCTCACTTGTCAGTTGACTAGTAATACACATGGCAGAATCTCCTTTTCTTCTCACTGAATAGGAACAGATCATGGTTTTAAGACTTTTCTTCTCCTGTGCTTGCTTTCCAGTGTATGCCAGTATGCCCATCACATACATAAAATCACAGACAATACTGAATAACTACTCTAAACTTTCCTGCTTACTACTGTATTTCCACTTTACCACTTAGGGCATTTTTAGATCAGCTGGGAAATGTGGGTGTTTTGCTTACTTAACCAAGAACTAGTTGAAGCTGAACTACAAAAGGCTTATTCCAAGACAAAGATTAATTCATTCTTGTCTAAAACACAGCCAGAAAAGCTGATTTGGGAAGGAGGTTTGTGTAGCTGTACTGAAAACCAGGCTGAACTGCCCAATTCACTTTGAATCAGCCAGTGAACCCTCTTAAAGTTACACTGGGCCTGCATATGAAACACCCTTTCCAGTGCCCAGTTCTCATTGCTAATGCTTCCCACCAATGTCTTGTACAATGGAATGATTCCTGCTCTTTGGACATTGTTTGGACTATCAGACTGGATCACATCTTGAATCTGCACTCAGGTTGGTATCAAAGCTGATGGAAACATTTTGCTGTCTATTCTGTGTTCAGGTCATTGCAGCCCAAACCCAATAAGCTAATCATAATATAATTAAATCCAACTTCAAATCACAAGTGAAATTTGAGTTAGCCTCTGAGAAAAAAATCTTCCTACTTTTTATCCATCAAACTACACATGACCAGTGAGTAGAATGTTGCCTCATTAGAACAACTGCAAGATCTTTCTAGATTAGCCATTTCCTTTCCAGGTTTGCCTTTTGTCAAAAGCCCAATTAATTATTTCATCTCTCGTGTTTAGACAGTATTGCAGGGGGCATGAAATATTGATAGCTAATTCTCTAGTCACTAATTGTCTTAATCTTTTGTGCATTTATTTTACTTGTGTTAGGTTTTCTGAAGACAGTGAGACATTCTAGACTACAGCTGTAGGATGATATTCAAGACAGGGTATCACAAACCCAGGATTTCTAACAAAGTAATACACACTTTCATGCAGTCATTTAAAAATGCCTGGTTACTATGATAAGAAGCCCACATACAGAACAGCCACAAACTTGTAATTTGTTATTAAAAGTATAGTGCACTAAAATATACACAAGATGGTGGGATAGGGACACTTGGACAATTCTGCCCCATGAAGCTCTATCTAAGAATACAATTCCCACTGATGCAACTCTTACACCTTAGGTTTCTAAAAGGTGTGGAAATTGTGAGATTTTTCTGTTTCCAGTATGAATATTTACAATAACAAAACATTCTTACATGTAAAACCTGCAACTTTTTTATCCTTCTAACTAGGCCAGGTTCTCAGCTGAAAGTACAATCTGTGAGCAAGAAGTCTGATGGCAAACCTTTCCTTTGCTCTCTCATGTAACAAAACTTTTGCTCATTACTGATTTAAATTCAGTTGATTTAGCCATACAAACACTTCACACCCTAAGTCTGTTCACATAAATATGAAGTAAAGATGAATAATTAAGCTAATAATGTTTACTTAATTACTTGTCTATGGACAGAAGTGCTGACTTCTGTACTAGTGCTCCAGTCCCTTGGGAAGAGTGCTATGTGAGAATCACAAGCAAGACTCATGACAGTGTTCCTTGTTCTGAAGTCACCAGTGATATGCAAAGTAAAAAAAGCCAGATGTAGAACAGCATCTTCGGTTTTAGGTGTTCTGAAGATGACAACATTTAATGAGCAATTAAAGAGTCAAGTAAGCTAAAGATACTCTTTGGAACTGTGGGTTCTCTCATCTATGGTTTATTAACCTGCTAAAAAAGCAGCTTTGACTTCACTAGCATATCAAGCTGTGAAGTGACACAGGACTGATCCCATATGTGAAGGTCACAGAAATCTCCCTTTTTTAGAAGGGAAAGGTTTGATATAAGCCATTTTACTCAAGGACAGAAATAATCAGACTCCTTCACTGTCTGGGTCGGATCAGGCTTTTAAAGGCCTCTATAAAGGTCATATTAGGGTACAACTCCAAAGTTTTACCATAGCAAATAAAATTCTGAGTTTCCCTATAAAAGGGAACTTTTGCCTTACTCTAATCTTTAGAGCTTAAATTAATTTTTCATTCTATTAACATTCAACATAATAGCATACAATGGTCCCCAAGGCATTCTTCATAATATACTTTGTACAGTGGTTTGCAAATGATCTTACTAGCTAATGGAACTATAAAAACTACTTGCACATAAAGGTCAAGAAAAATAAAGATAAGTGTATACTTTTTGACACTGTCCTGTTCAGCACTCAGCTAAAGGCCCCTGGAGTAAAGAAAACTTTTACTACAGCAAGGAATATAATTCCTCCCAGTACAATAGGCCAAACAGTTCAGCCTTTAGAATTCCAGACTTTTTACGTCTGCGTTTCCCCTTGACCAATTCTCTTGAACAATCCTCATTGATCAGTTTATTATTAGTATTCTTGGCATGACTTTAAGATCAGTTTGTAGTTTGATTCAGCCTGGTAATAAAATGACCTACATCAAAGCTGTGCCAGAATGCCATCTTTGTAGCAATGTGTTTAGCATGAATTATGTGGCCATATTCAAGGTCACACAGAAACTGCTCTTTATCATGCAATAAAGTCAACAAAAGGGTCCTGTGACAATTCACTTGATGCTTATCACTTACTTTATAATTACAAACAGTGTTGATTTTTTTTTAACATATAAGGTCAAACATCAGGGGAGTAGACCTAAAGATTAAGATCTTTTCTCACCTGTAATGACTGCTTAGATTTCTCTAACACTAACACTTATTTTTTAATTGTTTTCCTGAATTTAGATACACTAAATGCTTGTCTCTGTCTCCCATCTACAAAGATATGAAAGAGTCAGGATATTGTTACTGAGAAGTACAGGGCTGGGTGGAGCAGACTCTTCTGCTTGGAGAATAATTTCAGGGCAGAGTTCCTTTCAGTGAGTGGCACCACAGATAGTTTAGCCAAGACAAAAGCAGCCACAGTCCAGGGATCCAGAGCTGCTCTTTCTCCCTGGGTGCTGCATTCCTGTATGGACACAAACTAAGACTTAGCAGGGTCTAACCCTGCTGTACCACTGCTTCATACGTGCTGTTGTACCCTGCTCATCACATCATCAGCAGCCCATTGACTACTTGTACTCCCTGAAGCAAAGTAACCAACAAACACGTGTCACATCCACCTTCTTTCCTAGAGGGGAAAGTCCACTGCAAGAAGCATTTCACTCAATGAAAAGAAGTATGGAGTGATTTGCCTTAATAAAGTTTTGTAAGCTTGTCCAAATGCATAAAATTTGTATTACGTCACAAAAGGCACAGTCAAAAACATGTGTCTTGTGCTTGCAATGGGATGTGGTAGCATGTGCAGTGGTCCTTTGAGCCTGGAGGAGTTCACAGACACAGACCCAGCAAGTTCCACCTCCCTCCCACTTCATCTGGTCGGAATGTACTGTGCCAAACAAGCAAAATATCTTCAAAACAAGACCAGTATGAAGTCTAAAAGAACCCAGCATAGAAAGCAGAAAACAGGATTCATAAACTGCACTCATTCATGGCAGTGTGTGCTGCTGGAGTGTTGTGTGTGAACTAGAGTTGCCTGGACTCTGCAGGATTTCTGCTCAGGGACTGCAGGGCAGCCAGGAGGTGACAGAAAACATAAATAACTGTAGATACATTATAATAATGGAATACATTGCTAGATGAAGATGCAGATGCTCTCATATGAGAGCACGGACAGAATGAGAAATTCAGGTGTTCTACAACTACACAGAATGAACTGGTCTATTCTGACTGGATTTGTGGCCAAGGGACACTGCCCCACTACTGCAAGTTCTTCAAAACCTTTCTTTTCTCTGCCCTGCTTCAAGGAGTGCCTGCCAGTTTTTGTTCACTGATCTCCTCCAAACTAGGACCAGTATCTTTTATTTGCTGTGAACCAAAGGCAGACCTGCACTTTTTCTATATGTTGCTGGTATTTTAACTTGAGGTCATTTAATCAGTTTGCCCCATGCCTGATAATTATTTGCCTGCACAAAGCAGAAATTTAATGGAAAAAAAGTTATATTTTACTTCACTCTTTAATATGTGTCCCTGAAACAATATGGGCCACTGTAGCACATTCCTCCAGTCCCTTGTGCCACTTTCAAGGGAAAGGATAATTTTGTCAGGTGAAACAGCAGTTATCTCATGGCCAGTGGTTTCAGATACTGCAGAGAGGTCAAAGAAGATGAAAAAAGATGAAAAAGATGCTTGCTCCTTTTCCATTAGGAATCTATTAACTCAAGGCCACTCTGGTGCTTCCATCTTAATGTACTGGCCTGAATCCAGGTTGTGCTGAGTCTACGATTTTAG